GGGGGTGGCGATTGGCATTCATAGAAATGTTAATTTCAATTGCATATCCACAATGATAGACCCAGATGGGAGATACCTTTTTATTAAAGGAATAATAGAGAATCAGGTAGTAACATTGGTCTCAATATATGCCCCTAATAAAAAAACGACTGTATTCCTCTGCAAAACGTTACGTTTGCTAGCGGAATATCAGGAGGGCATAGTAATCCTGGCAGGAGACTTCAACTTACATATGTATCCCTATCTTGATACATCAACAGGGCGGTCCCATATAGCTTTCAAACGGCTCAAATCTTTTAAAACACAATTACATACGATGCAATTGATAGATGTATGGAGGATTTTTCACCCACAAGAAAGGGATTACACGGTATATTCACCAATGCATGACACATACACACGGTTGGATTATATGTTTGTGGATCACCATCATCTTGGGACCATACAGGATATAAAAATACTGTCTGCCACCCTATCAGATCATGCACCGGTGATGATGACCTTGAGACTCTCGGGGATAAGGCGCCCACCGGGCATGTGGAGATTAAATGAGGCTCTAATGCGGGACGAGAAGGTGGTAGTGGCCTTAACGAGAGATCTAACTAACTATTTGAAGGAAAACACAAAGAAAGGCACATCACCGGGTATGGTCTGGGAGGCACATAAGGCCACAATTAGAGGATCTCTTATTTCCCATGGGGCACGTAAAAAGAGGGAAAAAAATGGTAGGATAACAGAGCTCCTAGCAAGGGTGGCTACATTAGAACGGACGCATAAAGGATCCCAGACAGATCAGGTACTCTCAGAATTAACAAGAGCAAGGGTAGATTTGAAGGAGGAATTAGCTTCTAAATATAAGAGATCCCTGAATTATCTTTCCCAATACTCTTATGAACTGGGTGATAAGCCCGGGAAATACCTGGCTAAATTATAGAAAGCCCGACAAAATTCAAATTTTGTGGATAAAATAAAAAATAAAAAAGACGTGATGGTAAATACGACATCGGAGATATCTAATGTCTTTAAAGATTACTACCTCAACTTATATAATGTAAGAGCCAAACCCACCACCCAAATTAAGGATCAACATATGGACCATATCCAAAACTATTTAACTACAACTCTTGTCCCTTTCCTGTCCAAACCACATATGGAAGAATTGGAATCTCACATAAGTATAGAGGAAATTCAACATGCTATAGTGGGAATGGCCAATGGGAAAATTCCAGGACCAGATGGCTATACGTCACTATACTATAAAAAATTTCAACATGAACTGCTTCCCCACTTATGTGAGTATTTTAATTCATTTATGAATGGTACCCTCCCACATCCATCAACATTACATGCATACATATCTGTATTTTCTAAACCGGGTAAGGATCCAACTACATGTAGCAGTTATAGGCCAATCTCATTACTTAACACAGATATAAAAATCTATGCCAAAGTTTTAGCAACTAGACTTAGTGGCCTAATGTCCCAGATAATAACAACTGACCAAACTGGCTTTATACCTGGTAGGGAAGCGATGGATAGTACCCAGAGGGCGATTAACCTAATACATCAATCCTCATTACTTTCAAAACCCATCTTGCTTTTGTCTACGGATGCAGAAAAAGCATTTGACAGAGTCGATTGGGACTACCTACGAACCACTCTGCAAACAATGGGTATGGGACCTAGGTTTTTAATGGGGATAATGGCACTATATAATAACCCCACAGCACAAATTAAAGTAAATGGAGCCTTGTCAAATAAATTTACTCTACAGAATGGTACACGACAAGGTTGCCCCTTATCTCCACTATTGTTTGCCCTATCATTAGAGCCTTTTCTAAATTCTGTTAGACTTAATAGGAACATAGGCGGTATTACAGTGGGTAATACAGAACATAAATTGGCCGCATACGCGGATGATATCCTTTTCTTTATCTCACAACCTCAGATATCATTACCATCACTGATACAAGAATTTGAATTATTTGGCAAGGTATCAAATTTTAAAATATATCTAAATCCGAAATTCTGAATATATCCTCTCCGAGACATATAGCGATGGCTCTGAAAGATGCAATGCCCTTTAGGTGGCAAGAATATAAAATGCAATATCTTGGTATATCATTAACATGCAGAGTTTCGGAATTATTCATGGTTAATTATATGACCTTGCTAAACGCAATTCGTAAGGACCTTAATACATGGTCTAATCATCGTCCATGTATTTCTTTAACGGGCTGAATAAACGTTATTAAGATGATGATATTACCAAGGGTATTATATATACTCCAAACAGTGCCGATTACATTACCTAACTTTTATTTCCGAGCACTGAGAATGGTGGTTGGTCGGTACATTTGGAGACGTACCTCTGCGAGGATTTCTTCTAGAGTTCTAATTAGGACCAGGAGTCAGGGAGGTTTGGCATTACCAGATTTTGGGAATTATTATCAGGCGGTTGCAATTAATAGAATGTTGGACTTACACTATCATAGGGAAACTAAAATATGGGTAGAGCTAGAGAATGTGCTTGCTGGTCAAATAGTATCGAATATTTGTTGGATCCCTCAAGAATATTGGAAATTACACTCGCATATCTCCCCACTTACTAGTCACACGTTAAAAATTTGGAACTTATTATATTCTCGGCTAATAGGGCAATATAATTCTCCTATAATGCCAGTGACAGACCACTTATATTTTCCACCAGGAATGCACAACGCGAATTTTCTTAAATGGACGAATCACGCAATTTTAAAACTCAAACACGTATGTGAAGCACACAGAATGTATTCTATAGCAGAACTTCGAGCACAATGGGGGACCTATACCTTTGACACATGGAGGCATAGGCAACTATCACATTTTATTCTATCACTACCAAAACCGTTACGCACAATATCCGAACTTACACCAACAGAAAAATTATTTGATTTCACTGATCCCCCGCGACATGGTATCTCTCAAATATATAAGATACTATTAGATCAGCAACCCAATCTGTTTCCACTATATTGGACAACCTATACCTGGCAACAATGGACCGAGTTTAAAAAATCCTTGAGATATACAGAGGACATAGGATAGAAGGGATAAAAAAGTAATAGAACGGATTAACTTGGGTATGGGATAACACAAAGGGTTAACTTGACGTGTTTTAGAATAAGAGTATAATGAAGGAATATTAAAGGGTTGCCGGAATCCCCTTACATGGTATGGTATTGTAACTTAAATTTTGTTTTTGTTTTTTTGTTTTTTTTGTGTTTTGTTTTTTGTGCTTTTTCTTTTTATTTTATGGTTAAATAGATTGGTTATAATTGGATTGGCTGATAGGAAGATGGTAGAGGGGGAAATAGTTTTATAATAGAAATAAAAAGGAAGTGATAATAAAAGTTAAAAAAATAAAGAAACAATAAAAATGTTTTAAAACTAACCCTGCCGCCCGCCCCTGCCACCTGGTTGCCATTCTCCATTGATGGGGGGGGGGCGCATTGCAGAACCTGGCCTTGGGGCAGCAGGGAGAGTAAATCCGCCTCTGGTTACATGTTCCCATTTACATAGCTTAACTTTAAAAAAAGTGAAAAGTAGCCACCGCTCCAAGCTCGCTCCTGTGATGGACCACAATCTCAGTTTAGTGTACTAATTTGTATTGAGGTTGTAGTGTATCAGAGGAGTGAGCTTGGAGCGGTGGCTACTTTACAACACACACAGTAAACATGAAGAACAAAAGTAGCCCCACTACAGTGTCCTACAGGACAGTGTCAGCACCAATTCACAGATGATTTGAGGATCTACAGCCGAGTTATACACAAATAAGATCCATTTATGTTAATAGTTTAGGTACTTGAATGCAATTTTAAGATTTAACTCCTGAGATTAGTGTCACTTTAAATTGGCAGCCAGTGCCCCCATACGATGAAGGTCAGTGTCTGTGCCCCCATATATTGGTAGTCAATGCCTGTGCCCCTCTTACATTTGCAATCAGTGTTTGTACCCACTTACATTGGTGGACAGTGTTCCCTTATATTGGTGGTCAGTGTCTGTGTTCCTTCTGCAGGCTGAAGAAGAAATAGGTTACAGTCTGTGTGGTAATGGCTGAGGAGAAGGCGTGCCATATTGAAGAACTATGAAACAGAGCATTTTATTCTGAAATCCAGGACGATCCTGCATTATATGGGACAGGTGGCAACCCTGGAATGAGGTGATGATGAATATGGAATGAGCAGTACAGAGTACAGATTGAAGTGGTACATAAAGTGATAAAATTTAGAACACAGGTACAGCAGCATCACAAATTTGCTGTGAAATAATGTATTCTGTAAACAGACAAATCTTATGAACTCAGAATGAACATGCACAGTAGGAGCTATCTGCAGGCTCAGGATGCCCTAATAACCCATTGATGGCATCAGTATTTTAGTGCAATTCAATCATAGTGCAACATATAAATAACATGGTATTTTCCCTCCCCTCTTCCTTTCCCCACTGTGCACTCCCAATAAGACCTTTTACACAACTATGAACAATTAATGACAACTCCCATGCACTTTGTGAAGTTATACACTGATTTTTGTATGTTCTATTTCAGGTCAGCTTTTGTCCTGTTACTGATTTTTTAGTTGGTTCCTTCCTGATGCATAGACAATAGTCTATTAATAAATAAAGACGTTGTATGTACAACATGAAACATTGTAAAACATGAAACATTTTTGTATGTACAACATGAAAATTTAAAAAAAAATGAAATAGTTGACATCACAAAATAAACTGCCCTTTTAAAGTGGATATTGAAAGTGATACACTTTCTTATATATAACAGCATATAGTGCAGGAGTCATCTGAATTAAATAATGTAAACTGAGGATAACAGTGAACAAAATTATAGTCACTGGTGTCAGGTATGGCAAAGCTCGTACCAAACTGAAATATTCATTGACTTCATTGACGTTTCTTTGTCAAAATAGCTCAGTATCCCAAAGTCAAGTTCTGTGTACTCAAGTTTAACTCCTTGGTCACTCCTGTGACCTTGATGACACATAATGCTGTGTTTGGCATGCACAAAAGGAAATTGATTCTCTTTTAATCAGTTACGGCATTCCATCTTGCTAGAAGTGGTAAGATTTATATTCCAGATTTCTGTGTAATCCAGTTGCGGAAATATGTGATCCTGGAGTATACACCCGGTTTGTTTTTTTGGGCGCATCCATATCCAAAGCTTACAATTCCAATGAGGGACCATCTGCTATTATACTGTAGTGCCACAAGGGGGCCTCCTGAGTCTCCCTGCATTCAGATAATAAAGCAGGAAAACACATTAGTCAAAGTTTCTAAAAGAAATGCTTAAAGCGGACCTTTACACTAAAACATCAGTTTCTACCAATGCATGCCTCTATGTATGATGATTAACAATAACATAGACATGTCAGGTGTAAAATGCTGTGATTTTGAAATACTTTCACTTGCAGAGCATTCGCTTCCTGATTTCAAAGGGCAAAATTACTTCAGTTTGGCAAAGCAATGTACACTGGGTTTGCCTTGTCATTAAAATGATGATGATGTAAGTGCCAAAAGCATTGCATCCCCGGAAGGTTACATCAGCAGAGCATTGCTGGGAAATCTCATCTGCAATCTTACGAGATCTCAGGGAAAGCGATTTTCCTCCCCTGAGATGATGTGCATAGCCACATGTCCTAGTCACATGTCTTGTCAAATGTGCTAGAAATCCAGGAATCCTGACAAGAGCCTTGACTGCTGGGATAATGCAGGTGTTTAAGGGGTTAAGGTTAATCTCTCCCACCCAGCATTAAGTTCATTTTATTGGGGTACAAGCAATTATGGAGGAGAAAAAGAAGACATATAAGCTAGAGAAGGTGGGTGGTCCAGTCTCTTGGGTTTTGACCAGCAATAAGCAAGCCTACCCAAGATTGTAGCCCATCAAGAGAGTGAGTTTGGAGTGGTGGCTACTTTACAACACACACAGAGGCCATGTGGAAGAAAAGTAGCCACCCTCCAGAAGTAAGGACAGTGTCAGCACCAATTCAGAGATGATGTGAGGATTTACAGCTGAGCGATACACAAATAAGATACATTTTTTGTCAATAGTTGAGGTACTTGAATGCATCGGTAGAGGGTGGTTACAGTTCATCTGTGACTGGCACGATTATGTATTGGAAATAATAAAGAGTTGTTTATTTTAACGTGTTAATAAAGCTTTGGCCATGCCCATCCAATGACAATTCTGTGTTGGGTCATATTTTGAGGAGGGGCAGGGATTGCATGGGAACAAGAAGATTATAAGAACTATGATTGTCAGCAGTCAAGCTCTGGAGAATCAAGGGTGCAGTCCAAGCTCTTACTTTTATAGGCAGTTAAGTACAAAACCACTTTCCATTCGCTTTATTGCATTTAGTGCTGGAACTGTGGCATAGGGAGGAGTAGTATTGATAGTCCATAAAGACCGGGAGAGCTAATTTCCTTCCTTGAAACAGCCCAGGAAATGAGCACTGGACATAGGACAACTTTTTCTGACATGATTAACAGAGATTTTTTTTTCGTTTTGCACTTAAAATATAACAAAATAGTTTTTCAATGATATATAGTCGAAGACATAGTCCACCTTTTTGAAAAAAAAAAAATGCACACATGATGAAAGAAAAAAATGTGTATTTATTATTTTTTGGCATTTGAGCCAGCAGGGCATTGCCAGTGTGATCAGTGGATTGCGGGTGCAGTGCTCAGGCTCCTGCAGACTGTTCCTCCAGCCCCCAGTCTGTTCTGAGTTGCAGACCTTTGGTTATGGAGCTGGAGGAAGTAATCATTGGATTAGAAGTACAGTGATGTCATTGCACTTGTGTTGCATTAAGACAAGGGTGGGCAACTCCGGCCCTCCAGCTGTTGTGGAACTACAAGTCTCATGAGGCATTGCAAGCCTGACAGTTACAGGCATGACTCCCAGAGGCACAGGAATGTTGGGATTTGTAGTTAAAGCACAGCTGGAGGGCCGGGGATGCCCACCTCTGTATTAAGAACTGCAAGTCCCTCTGTCATTGTGGCTGGTGGGACTTCCATTTACAGACTCCTGTGAATAGATCTGTGAATGGGTGACACAGCTGTGGGGCGGAGCCCAATGTAAAAAAGCAAAGGTGCCTGTGGGTATAAGCACCCCACGATTTAGGTAAGTGGCGGGGGGGTTACATGACGGTTGGTGCTGGGGAATGTGCACTCCTTACCATCTTGTCTTGAATTATATTGTAACTGTAATGTCTTCCTTATATTGTAAAGCGCTGCGCAAACTGTTGGCGCTATATAAATACTATGTAATAATAATAATAATAATAATGTGACCATGTGTCAGGGTACCACCTAAATATGGGTATAACAACAAATATATTCCAAAAGCAGGAGTATGCTTTTAACGAACCAAATATGAGCTAATAAGAGAGGTTCATAGTTAGGGTTTACATAACCGTTTTACTTTGTGGCCCCAAGTGACATGATATGTTTTTTTCGGGTCAATTTCCCTCTGTTTTAGGGCCAAAGTATTCTTGTTTATTAGTAAAGCTCTTGCAAATAAATATTTTAAAATAAAGAGGAACCACAAATGTATTTGGCGCTCTAAAACCATAGGTGGCACACCTCGGATAGGTCTATATGCCAACCAAATACAGCCAGAGCTCACGTTTGTTGTTTACAAACCAAAAAGTCAAGGCTGACCTCCTCTGCTATTGTCTCATAATCCCTACTAGGGTAAGATTATCGATAGCGGTAATATACTGTACATTTATACCTTTAAAAAATATTTTCAGATGTAATGCATGAAACTCACCTGACAAGAGTCAATGTTTCCTTCAACATATCCAGCACATACCATTGATGGTTTTATTAGGTATGCATACATCTGAGCACTGCTGCATGAACGTGTACTTATTATCTTTAACTCAGCCTGTTGCAAAATAGAGGATAACGTTCCTTTAAAAAGAAAAAAAAAACGCACATAAATGTTAATCCCTGCAACCACATTAGTCAATATTTCTGGGAAATAAGTAATAGATCAGGTGCTTATAATGAGATATGTTGGTGATACCAACCTCCATCTGTCAGTGTTCCCCATCCGGTGACATAACATGAAGAATTGTCTTGAACAACAATCTGAGGATCTGCCAGACACACAGGTCTGATGTACTGTGTAAAGCTTACTGGAGACGACAATTCTAGCAAAGCAATATCATTTGCATATATTCCACTGGTGTAATTCTCATGTATAATTAAGGCTCTGAGGCTTAATTCAGATCTGGAGCTTAAATTAATTGTTCCTAGGACGACAGTCCATGAATTCACATCTTTGTTCCTGTGGAAACATGTTATACATCCTTTATTGTATAGCTATTCTTACATATGCTGTTTTTATGCAGATATCATAACTAACATATCATAACTCATAAAACAGATCAATTTTTGTATGAGTGTTAACACATATACTTTATTCATTGAGGCAGTGTAAAGAGCCATAACCTATAGAAACCAACCAGATAATAGTTTTCTGTAGTCAAACTAGTGGAAAAAGATATTCTCATCTCATTATTGTACATTTGATCAGTGCCAGATTAGGGCCAAATGGAGGCCAAGGCAAAATGGAATGGTTGGGCCCCCTCTTCAGTTGCCAATTCTACAACTGTTTTTGTGTACACAGCAGGTAAGTAACCATAGAAAGTATAAGTAACCACTGACACTAGGGGGCAATTTTACAATGACCACGACTAATGTCACACTTCTCAACTGACCACCAATTCAATCAAGCACACTTGCTGAACATTGTGCTGTTCACCCACCACATACCCCAAACGTCTGCACTACGTATACTGTGCTGCACATGACATTTCCCAGGTTGTTGACCTCTTTACACATTACTGAACAATCATAAGACTAGATTTTCTTTTAGGAATTTGGTATTTCATCACGTTTAACGAGCAGCCAATTTTGCAGTACAATAGCTTACACTGAGTTTCTATCAAAGTTACTCTGTGACAACATTCCTATCGGGACTTCCCCATAATGAGGCAGCCTAAAGCGATAGCCGCAGGCGGCATTTCATTGGGGGGGCGGCAGGTGTTTGTGGCGGGTGGCCACAAGGATGACTAACAGCAAGAGGGTTGTTGCTGCCAAATGCTGGCTTTTGCATGTGACTGGAATTCTACTCAAAATTGTGCATTTGAATGCAAAGGGATGCGTTTCACCTGCTTTGCCTACAATGCAAATGCATCTCAAATGCTACATATTGCCTCCATTGACGTTTTAAAATCACCCTACATTCACTGGAACTGTAAATCAATCACAGTGGGATCTGCAGTCAGTGACACATGCTACCCTTTCCTCATTCCGATCTGCAATTATATCATCTGGCTCCCGGACCATCTTCTTTTCCAGCTCTGAGATGTCATGTGACTGCATTTCAATGCGGCAAAGAAAGCTGATGGTGGAAGATATCAAAAGGTATGTCACAATACACCATGTGCTTTAGGAACACCTACCTTTAACTTATGAACCAACCAATCACTGCAGCAGAATGGCACACTTTGTACTCTTTTTTTTTTTTGCCTGCAGAAATGTTACTCTACCATGAAAAAGCCACTATGTTGGGTTTGCCCCCAGCTCAATGTTTTTCAGTCTTGCCCCTGGTTGTAAGTAAATCTAAGTGCCTGTGTCAATGGGCTTTTGTTTGCATTAGGCAGGTTTTGCATTTTCATACAAGTCTAGGTGCACGCAAAACCAGCTTGAAGCAGGTCAATTGCAGGCCAGAAGGATGTCAACTGCAGGTCAAATGCTTGTGTCAATGAATTCTGAATGATTTCAGAAACTTATCAAGCTAATGCCATCATCACAAGCCCAAAGCCTGTCAACGCAGGACCTAAAGGAGATTGTACTATGAGAGTGTAATGCCTTTGGCCAGCTTTTGAAAGCATAAACAAAATATTATATTTTCACATGTAGCCCCTACCACCTTCAGTGGAGTGGCTACTAGAAATTTAGCTTGCTTGAGCTGTAATCAGTCTGGCAATTCCGGGTGTTCTGTTGTTGATTGCACCTGCCTGGGTGGGGTGCTGTGACCCTGCTGCAGTGTGGGACAGCCAATAGGGGAACATCTTGAGTGTCTATGCCTCATCAGCCTATCACTCGGAGTCTCATGGCCAATGGTGCGTGCTGGGGAAGTGCATATATACTTAGGGGAGTGTCATGTGCTCAGTTCCAGTACGCCCCTGGGCTTAGCCTGGTGGAGGGATGCTCAGAAATGGAGATTCTGACTAGGCCTCAAGTCTGGAGGAGGTCACATGTGAACCCTGGGGGGATCTGGAACTGATTGGGGAAGAGAACCAGAAATGCTTTAAGAATACCAGAGGCGCTGATATGGACCTGGAAGAAGTCTGGTGTCTCTCCTATGGTGGATCTTATGCATATTTTATTTATTTTAATTAATGGTATTTATTTAGCACTGACAATTTTACACATCACTTTACATAGTTGCATATTTGCCCTGCCTTCAAGGAGCTTACAATGTAAGGTCCCTATCTCATATGCATCCATACAAGGGCCAATTTAGACATCACTAACCACTACACCACTGTGCTATCCCTTTTCAGCCATAACCCAGTATCAGCCATTCTCCTGTTGATTCTGCACTGGGGAAGTCTGAAGGGATTGGTGAGTCTGTCTTACTATTACTATGGATGTCCTAAACCCTATACCCTCTCTCCCAGTTGATGTTCTGCAATAAAGCATTCAAAAAGGCACTTAAAGTGACTGGCGCCCAACTTTCTTGATCACTCATCCCTTCACTGGCTAAGGATCTGCCCTGAGAGTGAAATGTCAGCCCTCCCTGCTTTTTGGGGGTCCACCTCAGGCCTCTCTGGGTCACACACACATTACACACATTAAAGTAATTTGTTTTTAAATAGCACATCATGTTATATGGCCAGTTTGGATGTAAATATTGCTTTTTACAACAGTCAAACTAGTAGCAGAGGAATCCATAACTTACGAATTAAAACAGTGTGCAGCAGATACTAGCCAGGTGTTGCTGATGAGAGAGGCTCCACATCTATGATTTCCATTCAAGCGTAGACTAGCCTGCCAGGGCCATGCACCCAAAGCCGCATCTGTTCCCCCAACTATTTTACTTGATATCGAAGGGCCTCTAACACCGCAATCTGTTCATAAAATAAATAGAAAAGAAATTTCAGCAATATGTTTTTGCAGTCATGAGTGGCTAACAATGCCAATAAATTCACCCCAGAGGCATGTATCTCCATACCATGACATTGAAGGAAGCTCTTTGGAATACATTTTTCATTGAATATACATTATATCATTTAAAACATTATTGCACAACAAATAACTTGTACATATTTGTTGAATATGTTTTGGACATTAAAAAAGTAAAGCATGCAGTGAGCCAGCTCATGGTCCTGTCAGACAAGCAATAAAAGTATGAACCTTAAAGTGTAACTATGGGCAAAATAAAAAAAAATATCTATAATGCAGTCTATCACTAGCACCATGAAAGTAGTTTTTGTTCTTCTCCCTGTAACAGTTTTTTATTACCAATTAATCCTGCCAGTAAATTATTTTTCTACTTCTGACATATGCAGAGTATCACTTATTGTTTATTGCATACTAATCACCTTATTATAATATGAACTGTACCTATTATACTGAATATTCAATGATGTAAGCTGTAACTATATTTATCAATCGAATCCTGTTCTTGCTCCTGTGCCTTGTATCAGCGAGTGAAGTATCTAGAAGCTATTGTCAGAAACCACCTGCTACTGTGCATGCGCGGTGGCCAGTTTTCAATACTGCAGGGAAAAGGGCACTTGCGTGCGCCACGGAGCGACTGCGCAAAAGCGTGACAAATGGCGCACAGGAAGAGATGCTGTTTCCTGATGGATCACCCTATTTAAGCCAGCCTGCCTGACTCCAAGTTGCTGGATTGTCATCAGCTTCCCCTGTGTTCCTTGAGCTTCTGTTTACCTTGCTGACTTCTGTTCCGGATTGCCCTTGACCTCGTTGATCGCTGCCTGCCCCTGACCTACTCCTTGCTTACTGGACCTGCCTCTGTCTCCTGCCTTTGTACCTCGCTGTCCGACTGATTATGACCCTTGGCTTGTTTGACCACGATCTTGGATCCTGCTCTGCACTCTGCTGCCTGCCTGGTTTTGACTACAGCTCAGCTTGACCCGATCCATTGCCGGAACTCCAGCTTGCATGGGGTGATCACCACTGGCACCTGTGCCACTTACACTCAGACTCTGTTCCCAACTCCAGATTCTTTGGTACACGAGGTGCAAGGGAAGCCTCTTCCCACATTCAGTCTCTAATCAGGTACATGACAGCTATCAAGCAGTGGGGCTCCCAAGTCCAGATGTTCTGTAACCCATCGTTCTTTGGAAAATTTAGGGAATAGTTAGAACCTCCATCAGGCTTTTTTTGCAGCCTGTAGTGAGGACATTCACCCCTATTTGTCCTAGTGACAATTGTCATTGGAATATAAATCCAGGAGATACAGTTGTCTCTGGAACAGGAGGTGAGGGTAAAAGTTCCGGTGGGGACAATGTTTGGGTGGTGTTGTATCTCCAGGGCAGGAAGTAAAGGGAAATCTCCCCAATAAAACACAGATGTAAGTCGATGGAGAGACCCTCCGCACTCCTCACAGTAGTCCCGGCCAGATGAGAAAAGGTGGTGCTCGCAGTGATGTATTGCCACGGATGGCGCCGTGCAAACACAGGAAAAGCAGGACATCACCAGCACTCAGTAATAAAGATAAATATGTCCCTTTTATTGGACAAAAAGCATCACAGACATCCAAAAAAACAACGTTTCGGGGCTGCGCAGGGTCCCTTCCTCAAGGCAGAAAGATGTGACCTTTCTGCCTTGAGGAAGGGACCCTGCGCAGCCCCAAAACGTCGGTTTTTTAGATGTCTGTGACGCTTTTTGTCCAATATAAGGGACATATTTATCTTTATTACTGAGTGCTGGTGATTTCCTGCTTTCCCCAATAAGACACAGACATCAAGAAAAACCTCAAAGAGGTCCTAACCATTCCCTTCTCTGTTTAAAAAAAAACAAAAAAAAACTTTGGAATTAGCTATAATTTAACATGTCTACACATTACTCATATACAATTGTCTGTCTAGTTTAGTCACTAACTTGCCACCTTTTGAATGATCCACAGATCAAAGGTAGACTAAATATCACACCAAACACACTGCACCACACCACTCTGTCTGATGACCACTAATGGGACACTTTTGGGGTGCTTGGCAAGAGTGTAAACCACCTTAGCACCCATTACCTGCTTTATTGTGAACAATGCCTAATTATATTTTCATTTTTGTCAATACAGTAAGTAAGTCCTTGATGGGGCCACTATGTTAAGAAATGAGGGTTGGCTCTTCAAACCATCTCTAGTCAACTTTATCAAGGCTACTGTGGTTTTTTGATGGTCCCAACACTTATAAATCTCATTAGAGAGTTACAAGTCTCATAAGGTAAATATATTCTAACAGCATGCTGCTCTGAGGATCAGGATTGCAGTTTAGCATGAAACTTAAAAGGGAACTGCTTTTACTGTTGCAGACAAAGAGTTTTATATTCAGTTACTTTTAGACAGACAGTGATGTCATAAAAAGCTAAGCCTGTCTTGGTCATATGAGGTTAGTTGTCAGTAACATGCTGCTGATGGCAGGAGTTGGAGAGTAGGCAGCTTATTTGTGGAAAGCAGTAATTAAGAGGTTTTTATTTTTTAAAGTTGCTTCCCTATATATGATAATTGCAGGTTAGGAAATCCACCTGTCACTAAAAATAGTAAAATTAGTCTGCAGTTCCTCTCCCAAATTCAAATGTGCTAATTCTAAACGATTTCTTTATAATTATGCTTTCCATATTATTTTTACATATCATCATCACTTATTACCATCATTGCCATTATAATTATAATTATTATCCTTATCTAAAATACTTCAATCATTATGGCCAGAAGTTCCACAGTAACTACTCTATATCTGCCATCATAGTAAATTACCAAATCACCAAAATTGTCCAGAATGCCCTTCAGAACTACAATAAACCCATGTCCGTAAATCCTAAATGTGTCCATTAGTAGATACATGCAAAATCTAAAAAATGCTAGTTGCTTGACTGTCATCCAATCCAGTGGCTTATCCAATTGCATTGATACTTTAGTCATTAACCTGAAACAAGTATGCAGATTGGGAGTTATGACTTCACTTTGACTTGCTGTATACTTGTTCCAAGTAATGGACTGACAGTACTGAAACCAGAAGCAGGTAGCCTACCTATTTCTCTCAGTACAATTTTCCTTTAACAGTCCACGAAGGCTTCCAAATTGGACAACTGCAGCAACAGAGCCTTTGTGTTTTGTGACATGCATCTAACCATTAGGTGATGTTGTCCTGTAAAGAGGCTGTTTAATGTAATCAACCTACCTATTACAGTTTGATTAATGCTTTGTGTTGTAGCACTAACATCTGTATAGCCTGGAACTGTGAATGAAAGGAAATACAAAATATTAGATCAATCCCATGGCGCATCTAGATTATAGGAGGGAATGTGGAGGCAACCATTGTTGTTCTATCCTTATCAAAATATTCTTGTTTCTGATCTGTGACAAGCATGTAGATTGGGAGTTTTGATTACAATATGAATTTACTCGCCACATGCTTGTTCCAGATCTGTGATTTAGAAAGTACTGAAGCTCATGGTGGTCAGGCAACTACCATTTTCAGAGGAAAGCCCAGCAATAGCGGAGCCATATTTCTCACAGTACATGTTTCCTTTAAGAATGAAAGGCAATAATATGCTGATTCCAGGTCAATAACTCAAGAAATTGAGTTTATGGGGTAAGCATACTAGCCAGCCAACTAGATTTTTAAAACAGGATAGGTCAGCAATGTAATTGTAATATTGCAGCACCAAACAGTTATAGACACCACCCTTAGCTGCTGTTGTTCTTTTGAAAAAAAAGGATATTAAAGGAAAAATGCAGTGTAGTGTATTTGTACATACTTTATTTATTAAGACCAGGGTTAAGAATGATTATTATTTTTTTTGGCACGTAAATGGGATATATGGAGTATTTCTGCCTTTGAGCCAGCAGGTGGAGCTTGAGGCTCATATTTTAAAGGCTCTCAAGTTGCTTTGAGGAAACAATGACTCCTCAGCAGTGATTTAGCCTTGATTGGACTGCTCAGTCTAACATTTCAAGCAACTAGTTCCTCAAAGCAAGCAGATCTTTTGATAATCCCATGGTCACTACAGTATAATATATATATATATATATATATTGCACAACATCGGAGAGCAATAATGAATGGTCCATCATTAACTGTTAACTCTAAATTGATGACCCATAAAGCATTGTCTATGGTCAATTTTGGGTACCATAGTTTTGGCACACACAGTTTTAAAGCTTCACCTGTTTGGTAACCCTATCTTTATATTTTACCCCAAAAAAAAGGTATTATATTATGTTTGCGTGCACTAAAATTCATTAATTTTTTCCAAAAATATATTTTTGATAAACAGTTGCCACAATTTATTCTTCAGCACTTTCTTTCCTATATAATTGTTTATATAGGAATGAAGGCCCTGAAGTTTTAATGATTGTGAAAAATTTAAAAATGGCTCCCAATGCAAAGTTGTTAGAAAAGTTTAAACACTTCATCAAACACCATTTTGTTTCCTTTGTTCTACATATTAAACCTACCTAGTGCAGTTTGATCGGGACCCTGTGTTGCAGTACTAAAATGTGTGTAGCTTGGAACTGTGAAAGAAAGTAAATGGGGGTGAAAAAAAAAAGAAAATCAATGCTGTGCCAAGCCTGCTTTTGGAAAAAACTTTTATAGTTATCAGTCTGGCAGTACAATTAAAGACTTCAAAACTATTTATTTTTTTCCCAACAAAATGACAGCTCAGTTGTCAGAGTTGAAGTAGTGTGCGAATACCAAGAGTGAATACAAAGGTCAAATTTCAAATTAAAAATTTACTTTTTACATAAACGTATTTAAAGTATTAGCTGATTGGGGCAGATTTATTATTAAGAGAAGACAATGGTTAGTTGGTCAGGTTATCTTAGTAAAAATAGTGAAGCTTTATTCACTTTAAATGCTCAATCATGTGCAAAGGA